CTGGTTTCTACACTAGCTTTTAGGAGAGACAAAGGAATATTTGAAAACTGTTCTTCAGATTGCCACTGCTGTCCTGGAATGTGATTTTTTTTTTCTATTGAGGTAAAATTTACATACAATTAAATGACCAAGTTCTTCAGTGATAATTTTTTTTACCACACCCACTGAGTTTAAGTGCGGATTTTATTTTTATTTTTTTATTTTTTATTTTTTTGGTAGAACCGGGATTGAACTCAGGTCCTTCCACTTGCCAGGGAAGCGCTTATTCCACTGAGCCATCTTCCCAGCCCTTTAAGTGTGGATTTTAATGAGTTGTTACTTTTACCTGCGGTTGTCCGATGTACAAGGCCCAGGGCGTTTCCATCGGCTCAGAAAGTCCCGTGTCCTTTTCATCACTCTGCCCCATCCCTGGGGCAGCCCTATACTCCCTCTGTCCTTTGAGATTGATTCACCCACCCGCCCTGGACAGTTGGTCACACTCCAGGCACTCCCACATGTCCAGATTCTGCACGAGGTCTAGAGATGAACCCGTGTTGTCCTGTGTGCTGGGATGTGGCTGCTCGGTATCCACAGTACGTATGTGTCATGGTGTGTGTAGCCATCCCCGCCCCGATGGTCCTCTGAGGAAAGGCTGTGATGGCTCTGTGAAGTAAGGAGGCCAAGAATGTTCCCTTGGTCTTTTTGTGGGAATGTGGTCAGATCTATTGGGGAGATCCCTCAGAGTGGCACATACGAGTCAGAGCAGTGACATAGGTCGGCCTTCTGAGTAGGAGCCAGAGTTCTCTGGTGTTCTTGTGCCTTCCGTAGCTCCAACCCCGGAGTCCAGATTGTGCTGCCTGTACGCGCCCATTTGTGGGGGGTCAGTCTCTCTTATTTTAGTCTCCTAGCGAGGATGGAGCGGTATCTCACTGTGGCTCTGTTTTTGTTTTCTTTGTACTGAAATCGAACTCAGGACCTTGTACTTGCCAGGCAGGTACCGTGGCTCTGTTCTGTATATCACTGTTGACTGATGGCTTTAATGGGATGGTTAGACACTTGCACCTCATCTCCTAGGAGGGTTTTTAGTCTTCTGCTGCTTTGTATTGGATTATACTTATCCTTGACTATGGGCGTTCATTATGTAGACTTCTTCTTCAACAGTATGTATGGTGAATATTTTTCCTAAAGCTTCTTATTAACAGTCATCTTTAATAAGCAAAAATTTAATACTTTTTTGTGAATAGTTCATGCTCATATCCTATCCAAGAAATTTTTTAAAATTTATTTTTTGGGGGGCCAGGGAGATGGCTCAGTGGAATAAGCGCTTCTCTGGTAAGTGCAAAGGCCTGAGTTCAATCCCCGGTTCCGCAAAAAAAAAAAAAAAAAAAAATTATTTTTGGTACTGGGACTCAAACTCAGGACCTTGTACTTGCCAGGCACTATACCTCTGAACTACATTCTCAGCCCTCAAATTAATTTTCTTTTTTTAAAAAATTAATTAATTAATTAATTATATTAAATTTATTTATTTATTTATGTGTGTGTGTGTGTGGCCAGCTCAGCCCACCAGGGGGCGGGGCTGGCTTGGCATGTGGTGCTGGGGGATTGAACCGCGGTCCCTGTGCTTTGCTAAGCTTGTTCTAAGTAGGTGCTCTAGACCACTAAGCCATCTCACCAGCCCCTCAAATTAATTTTCTGCGTGGAGTGAGTCAAGGTTCATTTTTCCATGCATGAATAACCAATTGTTTCAACCTTTTTTTTTCCCCTTGAGACAAGGCCTTGCTATGTAGCCTTGAACTCCCTGTGTAACCCAGGCTGGCCTCAAAGTCAGGGTGATCCTCCTGCCTCAGCCTCCCAAGTACTGATATTACAGGTGTGCAACACCAAGCCCAGTTCCAATTCATTTGAAAAAAACTCCTTTATTGAACTGGTGTGGTGTGTTGCTCAGAAATTGATTTGCCGCGTAATGTGCGTCTATTGCTGGCCTCTGTACTTTGTTCCACTGATATATTTATCAGTCTGTTGGTACAATCATCTGTAATTACACCAGAACCAGCCTGTGCCAACCACAATAGTTAAGCTCTGAAATCAAGCAGTCTAAGAAGTCTGTTCTCCTTTCTCAAAATCGTTTCTGCCTATTCAAGATCCTCTATGGCATTTGCTTGTCAACTTCTTTAAGAAAGCCTGATGGAGCTTCAGTAGGGTCGTCTTAGTCTGGAAGCCAGTGCCCACCCTGACGTTGCCTCTTCGGGTCACGAGTGTAACAGACCTCTGTACTTTTTCTCAGGAATGTATTGCCGTGTTCCATGTTGCAGTCTTGTGCATCTTGGCACAGATTTATTCCTGGGTGTGATATTCCTTGATATCATTTTGGGGTGGCATTGTCAATTTCACTTTCCATTCTCCATTGGGGGTCTGGCTGGGGGAGTGTGCTCAGTGGAGATGACCAGAAGGGGACCCAAGGCCTGAGCCCTGGGGTGACCGCCCTAGGAGCTGGCACAGGGCCAAGGCTGCCCCAGTGGTAGAAGGCCAGCAGGTGGGGGTGAGCTGGGGCGGTGGGGAGTTTCCGGGAGGAGAAGGTGGCCAACTGCGCGGATGAGTCAGACGAGTCCTACAAATCAACACGCATATAGCAACCGTCGCCAGTGACTTCAACAAAACATTGGACAAAGTTCTTGTTTCTCTTTGTTTTCACTGTGTTAGGGGAGCTCAGTGACTGAGCTATATCTCCAGCCCTTTTATTTTATTTATTTATTTATTTATTTATTTATTTATTTATTTATTTTGAGCTAGGTGTTTGTTAAATTGCCCAGGCTGGTCTTGACCTTGCAATCCTGCCCCACCAACCTCCTGAGTAGCTGGAATCGTAGGCATTCAACACCACACCTGCCTTGACAGAACATTTTGATGAAACATTCTTGTCGCAGTGGAGTGACAGCTTGACTGCAGAGGGCTTAAGAGGACAGGGCTCAAGGGGCTTTCCCTCATGGCTGGCAAGAGGGCTTCCTGGGGGTAATGGGATGGCTTCCAGAGTGATCCATCAGTGGAGCTGTCTGCCCTCAGCTGCCTGTGCTTCGGCATTGCATGCTGGGAAGTTGGCTTGTGCCCCACAGATGGCTTCTCTTAGGCTCAAGGAGTGGGACAGGGTGCAGGGAATGCCCAGGAAAGAGCACCAGCTTGGAGCCCCGCTTCTCTGCTGTGCTGCTGGGGTCCTCCAGGTGGCTGTACCACTCCCCTGCCACCAGTGGTTGCTGATCCAGTCCCGCCTCCTGCTGCATTGTCTGCCGGCCCATCTGGCCCTAATTTAGGATCCCAGCACACCTGGAACTGTGCATTTAAAAAACATTCTGTGGCTTCTATGTACCTGCACCGTAGGTATTCATTGGTGCTCTGGTGACAGAGTGGCCCAGGTGCAGGTATCTGCCCAACCCTGTCCCTCCAGAAGGCTGTCATTTACGTTGGGTGATCATGCAGGTGAGGATGATCAGGACCACATAGGTGGGGCTGCAGAAGTCCTGGGTTGTCCCTGTGTGGACAGCAGGGCCAGGAGGAAGAGGGGCAGGCAAGGATACAGATGCAAGGGGGCCGCTCTGTGAAGTTCCTGCAGGGCAGAAATCGTCCCTGTGCAGCTAGCTGTGGTTTCTGTGACTATGTGTTTTTCTTTTCCACATTTTCCTATGTGGCCACCTGTGGGAAACTTCCCAACACATGTCTCCAAACATCCTGGCAGCCAGCTTGGGGTGAGCAGGGCTCCCTGACAACCAGCTGTTACCAAAGAGTTCAGAAACTGAAATTTGAGGAATGTTGTGGAGTGCTGATTCCTCCCATACTCTGAGATGACCAGGCCCGCATGTGGGGGCGGCACTCAGGGACAGAGTCCCCAAGCATGCATAAAGACCCAGCACGGTGGGAAGGCTCCTGGGGGATGGGTGCTGGGTGCGCCAAAAGGGCTGCAGACGTGGAGTCTGACGGCTGGTGGGTCCTCCAGCTCTGTGCGACCTGCACCCCAGGGCAGGACCGCCAGTGGATTCAGGGGCATGGGATGCTCCAGGTGGCCACCAGCCCACAGCGGCAGGCTTCGTTGGATCCTTGCTCAGCATCTGGCCAAGTTTTTCCTGTTACAATCTGTGCAGCCAGTGGGGTCCTAGAGGGGGCAATGGGAGACTAAGAAAAACCTAGACGCATAATAAGGGGACAGCTGGGACCAGCTGGGACCTGACCTCTCTGATGGAGAGGCAGTGACACCCAGCATGCTCCACGTCTTTATTTATACACAGTAAAGAGGGGGAAGGGTGCAACAGGATGAAAGCGCAAGGTCTCCGTGCTTTGCTAAGAACACCGAGTCTTGCTCCAGTCCCAACAGTGAGTTCACGTGGCTCCCTCTGGCGCCCCCTGTTCTTGGGGCTGCCCCTCTCCAGCTCAGTAGCTCCCCACCGTTCTTGTTACACATGAGGAAACTAAAGGCCAGAGAGGGGCAGCAACTTGCCCAAAGTCCAAAGCAAATTGTGACAGAAGCAGAGCTGGGTGCAGCCCTTCCTGCACGAGCCCAGTGGTCTGCCCATGGCCAGCGCCTACTTTTCTCTTGTGGTGGGGACCGCACCCTACCCCGCCAGGCCTCAGCAGGTCGGAGCTCTTCTTCGCTGTCTTAGGCTCTGGCCATGGTGCTGAGGATGTGCTCGAGAGGAGCCTGACAGTAGATCCCGCTCGCTCCAGAAAGGAAGGGTGGACCAAGGGTTCTGTCTGGGGAAGCAGGGGGCTCTCTGCAGAGTGGCACAGAAGCTGGCAGCTGAAAACTCCGGGCTCAGGGACTGACATAGAGACAGACTACAAGTAAGAGCCACGAGGCCAAGACCCCTTCATCAAGGGTGGGTGCTGAGGTGGGCACTTGGCCTCGCTGTGTAGCCCTCCCTCCCCCATGGCACCCACAAGTGTGTAGGCATCTGTAATTGAAAGTGTGGGGGCTGCTGGGGCCTGGGAGCTGCAGGGCCGCCCTGCTCACCCCTGTCCTGCACTCCACCCAGGTGCAGACATTCCACGGAGACCTGCTGCAGCACATGGAGAAGAACACCAAGCTGGACATGCAGTTCATCAAGGTGAGCCTGGCTCCGAGCCCGCCTGGCCCACAGGCAGGGCCGCTCGCCCCAGGCAGTGGTCCTGAGCAGTGCTAGGTTACACACACTCGCACCTGACCCCCCGGTCCCTGGGCGGTGCGCTCTAACCCTGGAATCTCTGTCCTGAGTGTGGATCTCTGTGTGTCTTGGCCCTGCTCAGGACAGCCGCCAGCATTATGAGATCGAGTACCGCCACCGTGCCGCCGACCTAGAGAAGTGCATGTCCGAGCTCTGGCGTATGGAGCGCAAGAGGGACAAGAATGCACGGGAGATGAAGGTGCGTGGGCTGGAACAACTGGGCAGGTCTGGGGGACCCCAGCATTCTTGGCCCTCAGGCCCCTCTTCCACAGCCCTTATATCCTTTCTTGGATCATGGCCATCTTCAAAGTCCCCTTTCTCAAAGCCTGGGTACCTCTCCCCCAGTAAGGCCGTCAGCCCTGCTGCTCTGAACATGGAGCTAAGTGTGACCTGCCAGTGGCCCTCCTGTGGAGCATGGGGTCCTGCCCCTGGCCGAGCTCAGTCCCAGCTCCCATCCCTGGCCTCAGGCTATAGGACTTGAATCCATGGTATAACCTGGGTGCCAGGCCCAGAGCTGTGGGTCAGACCCAGCCTTGCCTATGAGAAGCACCCAGGCTGACGCTGGGGAGACATGGGGCCCAAACCCGTAAGGACCAGGATGCCTGTGAGGGCAGCTGGGCTGGGCTGTGTGCTCAGGAGAGGCCTCCAGGAGGAAGGGCAGGGGTGAGGCCCTCACCCGCCCCACCAGCTATAGCCTCCTCCCACAGGAGAGTGTAAACCGGCTGCACGCACAGATGCAGGCCTTTGTGTCAGAAAGCCAGCGGGCTGCTGAGCTGGAGGAGAAGCGGCGCTACCGCTTCTTGGCTGAGAAACACCTGCTGCTGTCCAACACCTTCCTGCAGTTCTTCGGCCGGGTGAGTCGGGCTGTGCATGGCCAGCTGCAGCCTCCTGAGCCGGCTGCACAGGGGAGCTGCTTCCCTTCCTCCCTTACCTGTGTAGAAATTTATTTCCCTCACGTCTCCCGCTTACCCGTCTGTTTGGGCCTGCATTTATCCACAGCACCATGTGCGCGCTTTTGCACACATGCGTTCCTATGGGGACCATTACTTTTTATTCCTGGATGCACATGCTCCACACTCCCATGCTCAGCCACTGCTGGATTGGCTCTGTCATTCATTCATGTTATCATTTCATTTAAGTTCTCTAAGCTCTTGCTGTGTCCTGTGCGCTAGACCGGTCAGTTCTCTCATTTCTCGTTGGATTTCTAGGGACTTTGCTTTGTGTTTAGGTACAATATTGCTGGGTGCTTTGGGGCTTTTATTATACCGCCTCTGTAAATATTGTCTTCAAAGGTTGAAGTGCTGTCTTTTAAAATTTTTTAAAGTCTTTTATTTATTTATTTTGGTACAGGGTCTTGCTATGCAACTCAGATTCATAGTGATCTTCCTATGTCAGCCCCCCAGCACTGAGATTACAGGTGTGTGCCACCATGCCCAGTTTTGGTGGCCAGCACAGTGTGCCCGGGGTTCGGGGCTGGCACAGCATGTGGTACCGGGGGTTGAACCCTGGTCCTTGCACTTGCCAGGCAGGTGCTTAGACCTCCGAGCTATCTCCCCAGCCCTAAAGGGCTCTCTTACTGGATGCTTTTTAATTCAATTTTGCCTGATATTGCTATTGTCCTTTCTACTTTTTTTTTTCTTTGCCTCTTTTTTTTTTATTTTTTTGAGATAGTGTCCCAGAATGTAGTCCAGGCTGGCTTTGAATTCACTATGTAGCCCAGGCTTGCCTCCAACTGGTGGCGATCCTCCTGCCTCAGCCTCCTAAGTGCTGCGATTATAGGATGCGCCACCATACCTGACTATTTTGAAGTATATTTTCTGTTACTGACATATAGTCTCCAGCCATTTGGGTAGACTTTTTTGTCTTCTAAGTGGGAATTCAGCCCACTGCCATGTAACAGCCAATGCTCCTGGCTTGACTGCTCCAAGCTGGTTCAACTGACTTACTTTATCATTTTCTCTTTCCCCTACTCACATTCTTCCCAGGAAGATTGAGTTAGTGTGTATTCCTCCTTCCCCCGTACTGAGAAATTCTACTCTTCTCTGCTCCTGGGGACTTCACTTTATGACCCTTGTGACCCTTATACATCTAGTACCTGTTATAAAACTGCCCCCACCCTGCCAGCCGGCCCCGCCCTTCCCTTGCTGCAGGCTGGGATGGACCCTGGGGGAGCACCACTCTCCCTTCCTCTTGCGCGTCTCTACCCCTTGGTCTGGCTGAGTCAGCCAGGACTTTTGGGTCCAGACTCTCCCTGGTCTTCTCTGAGGTCTGGCCTTGCATTTCCAGCTTTATCTCGCTCGATCTCCCACATTACCTTGCCTGGTGCCCCATGTAGCTTGCTCTGCCGGCCTGGTAGGTGATGACCAGCCAGGCGGGCTCCAGAGCCCAGGCCCTGCGCTTTGTGGCCCCAGAGCCCCCCACCTGTTCTCTAGTCCCTGGTGTGGTGCCCGTGGGGCCGGTGCTGCTCTGGCCCTGGCCCTTTCTCTGTGGATGCCCAGAGTCATTCTCTAGGCCCCTGGGGCTGGGGAGCTGGCGAGGAGCTGCAGTGAGAGCCGAGGTGGCACGCCCTTGGTCAGGGAGGCTCTCTGCTGGCTCTGTAACACTGAGCTTCCCTTCTCTCTCTGCCCATGGGGGCCACCTGTCTGTGACCTCATCCCTTACCACGTCCTCTCTGTCTCCTGACTTGTCAGGATGCCAATTCCTCAGGTCCACCCTCTATTTGAGTTCTTCAAGCTCCCATCTGAAAATCTCACCATGTGTGGTCTGAAGACCTCCGTTCCACAGCCAGCTCCGCCAGAGGCTGGGGACAGCACAGCATCGCCACTCCCTGCTGCCTCGAGGTCCTCACCCTTGACCTCTGCCCCCCCTTAGGTCCTTGTCTTCCCTCTGCCTCCACAGGTTCTGCCCTCACCCTCAGCTGAGCTGAGCTGCGACAGCCTCGGGCACTGGGCTAGCAAATCTGGATGGGCAGGCAGGGCAGCAGTCCCTTCCCAGCCCTGGGTTGCCTTGTCCAAGTGTCCAGTTTTCTGCCATGGCACAGGGAGGACCCCACTCTGTCCCGGGTCTCACTGTTGCAAGCAGAAGTTCCTGCTCAGTCTCAGGGATAAGGATTGACTTCGCTCTCCATGCGAAGGACCGGAGCAGAGGCGGCGAGTTGGGAAGGCCGTCCAAGTGCCCTGCACGGCGTGCCAGGTTGAGCAGGCGCTGCGCTCTGCTCTCCAGGTGGCAGGCACTGGCGCAGTACAGGCTTGCCTGGAAGAGGAGCGCCTTTCATTTGCACACAGAGGTCCTCCTCTCATGAACTCTGTATGCCAAACTATCCACTGTCAGGGGACGCCTGGGCCTTTGTGACATCAAGGAGCGTTGCCCCCACTCAGGAAACCCAGTGGCCCTCCCAGGCCACATGCAGGGCAGATACTCGGTGCTGCCCTGGCCTTCAGCCATGCAGCCCTGGTCCTGGCCTGGCCAGAAGCCTTGGCACCATCTGCCTACCATTTCCCTTAAGCAGATGACTTTCTCCTTAACTTTCCTGGCTTCATTCAATCATTCATTCATTCTTCTTAGCCCAGATAATGCAGCATTCCCAGCTCTACTCTATATCTAAAGGTGAGTCCCTGGCCACCCAGACAGTGACTCTGTCCTGGTGCCACAAGGGCTGCCCCTGCTCCTCCCCCAGCCCTGCCTCTTTCTCTTGCTCCCCATTTCTTTCTATTCCCAGCTATTGAACTCTGCAGCAAATTCCAGGGAAGGATTTCACCTCCCTGGGCCTCCTTATCTTATCTGGAAAGGGCATGATTCCCAGTCCAGGGTCAAGGCAGAGAGGGAAACTGGCATAGGAGAGACCAGGTGACACTCAGCTCTAGCCCTGCCTGTCCCCTCAGAGGCCAAGAACAAAACATTGTTGCATGGAGCTGCCCCGATGTGCCACCTGCTCCTCCCTGTCTTCTGAACAGCTAGCTTATCTCCAGCATTAAGAGGACAGGGACCTCTTCTTTGGCTGCATTTTGGCAGCTGGGATCACCCTGCAGGAGGGAGCTGCAGCAGGAGCAAGCAGGACCCCATGCGTGGGGCTGGAGGAGCATGTCATGACCCACCCCAGCTTTAGGACACCCAGGACCTAACTCCTAAAACAACCAAGCATAAAGAGTTTCTTTTTACCATAATTATAAGCTCAATGCACAGTAAGAATGAGACTTTAAGAATCAGAAGTACCTGGAGATAGGAGGGCATCTTTCTTGTTCATCTGCAATATTCGGTCCTCTCTTGACCCAGTCACAGTTAATAGCACGCCTCTCCCCTCACCCACAGCCCCCCTGGGCCACTGCGCTTGGGCAAGTTATCTCCAGGACAGATGCCTAGAAATGGAATTAGGCAGACTTTACCAGAGCACGGTGGCACATATGTCATCTGAGCA